GGGAGGTGGCAGGTTCAAGCCCAGCCCCAGCCAAAAACTACAACAACAACAAAAAGCCCTTTAGGGTTTCCGCTCATAGTGGGAGATGGTTCACTAGAATTCTCATTCTTGGCAAATGCCAGATTTAGAGAAGGTACCAACTTCGTACTCCTTCCATGAAAAAAGCACAGCTGTAACTCTCAGCCATTTTCTTCCTGGTCAGTGCTACAGTTTTAAAGTAAAATTGGCTCTGCATGCTGGCTCCTCAATCTGAGGGCTACTTCCCTCCCTAATCTTGATTCAGAATTCTCCAATATTTCATTAAGTGTCAATATCTTATTAGCTTTAAGGCTTTTGGGGGGGGGGGTTATGTACTTGTTAAAATTGCTTAACTAGGTCATCCATACATTATTAGAGCCTGGTTTTTAGGTTCTTTATAAAGGGACTGAAGCAATACATTTTTAGGTTCTTTTTTATTTTCTTTCTCCTGGCTACAGCCCAGTGGTATTATCATAGCCAGCTGGAACTTCAAGCTCCTGAACTCAAGTGATTCTCCTGCCTCAGCCTCAGGAACTTGGACTACTGGTACACACTACCATGCCCAGCTAATTTTTCTGTTTTTTGTAGAAGTGGTGTCTTGTTCTTGTTCAGGCTGCTCTTGAACTCCCGACCACAAGCCATTCTTCTTCTTGGTATTCCAAAGTGCTAGGATTATAGGCATGAGCCATCTTGCCCAATGTAGGCTCATTTTTACCTCTACTACCAGATCAGGTTTTATATAGTTATAGTGATCATAACTGTTCTTAATGAGGTTAGGACTTTAAAGTATTATATAAAAGGAATCAACTGGCGTGGCACCTGGAGCTCAATGGTTAAGGCGCTAGCCATAGACACTGGGGCTGGCAGGTTCAAATCCAGCCCGGGCCTGCTAAACAACAACAAAAAAATAGCTGGGCATTGTGGCAGGAGCTTGTAGTCCCAGCTACTTGGGAGGCTGAGACAAGAGGATCACTTAAGCCCAAGAGTTTGAGGTTGCTGTGAG